AGTGTTACAGCAAGTGTTACAGCAACCGGTCCCAAAGGAATAACCAAGCGGCACGCAGAGAGTTGGAGGGTCAGCGTTTATTCTTGCCGGCGGGCCCAGAGGAGACAAGTCTCCAAATTCTGAGCACCGCTTTTTTATTTTTGTCAGGTTTTATACTTTTTTTGGGTTAGACATACCCAATAGCATACAAGCATAAATGGTTAACCAATTAGCAATAGGATTTAAAAGACAGCCAATTAGCAGCACTTCTTACAAGCAGTAAAGTTATAACAGGCTCATAACTTCACTTAACTGTTTTGCGGTTTTAGCTAACAGGTGCATAATTCTACTTAGCTGCTTTTGTGGATTTAAGCGGAATTAGCACTGAAATTTCCCCAAAAAAAGAACTAAAAGTAGAACTACCATTTGATCCAGCAATCCCATTACTGGGCATCTACCCAAAGGAAAAGAAGACATTCTATAAAAATGACATCTGTACCTGAATTATAGCAGCATATTCACAATTGCATAGATGTGGAAACAACTCAAGTGCCCATCAATACATAAGTGGATTAACAAAATGTGGTATATGTATACCATAGAGTTCTACTCAGCCACAAAAAAAATTATCTGGGCATTGTGGCATACACCTGTAGTCCCAGCTACTTGGGAGGTTGAGGCAGGAGGATTGCTTGAGCCCAGGAGTTTGAGGTTGTTGTGAGCTAGGCTGCTGCCATGGCACTTTGGCCCAAGCAACGGAGTGAGACTGTCTCAAAAAAAAAAAAAAAGATGCTTTGTAAATTATAAAGGACTACGCAAACATCAGTCACATATTGTACTGGAAGCTTTGGAGCCTGAGGCCTAACATAGAGCTGGTGATCAATATTTGTAGTATAAGTGAGTAAATTACATTGATTAGCTATGTGATCTCAAGGCAAGAATAATCTCTGCCTCTCTTGGACCCCATCTGATACCACTTTCCCCCTTGTTCAATGGGCTCCAGCCATACTGTCCTTTTTCCTGTTCCTCCAACACACTAAGCTCATCCTGCCTCAGGGCCTTTGCTTCTACTAAAATTGAGATGAGATGCAGCTGGAAGATTTGAGAACTGGAGTGTCATCACGATCAGACTTGTTATCAAGATCCCTGGGACTTTTGTGCTGGGAACATCTGCAGGGCAAGCGAAGGGACCAGGGAGGATCCTACTACAATAACCTAGGTAAGAGGTGGTGGCTTCCAAAGACTGCGGGAGGAGCAGGTCTAGGGTTGGAAGACAGAATTGAGGGGTTGACAGTTACTTTGAAGAAGCCTGTTAGACATCCAAGGAAAACTGTCAAGTAGACAGCAGGATGCATAGGTCTGCAATTAAGAGGAAGGTCTGAGCTGGGACCTCAACAAATGGTTATCTATCATCCGCAGTAATATGGAACCCCAGGTCTACCACTCACTAGTAGCGAACTCTTGAATAAACCATTTCTGGGTTCTGGGCCTCAGTTTCTCTACCAATGAAATGGGGAAAATATTCCCACATAACAGAACCTTTATTGGAAAGAAAAGAGAAGTGTCCAAGTGTGACCGTGAGCAAGATGAGAACCCTGAGCCAAGAACTGCACAAGCCCGTCCTAGAGGGCAAGGGCTGCTTGGGGCTGCTGAGGATTCAGCGACCGGTTTTCGAATCCTCAGCACGCGCTCTGAAGTGCCAGAGTTAGCAAAGAAAAATAAGCCCCAGGGCCCGCACAACAACGCGGGCTGCAGCGCTCAACCCTCGCGAGATTTGTTAGTCAGGCCAATTACCCCCCCTTTCTACCAACATCTCGCGATACCAAGGCACAAGACTGGCTTTTGACCGGTTAGGGCTTGCGGGAAAGATGGAGTATTCCTCGTTGGGTACGCTGGAGACCGCGGACGACCGAGGCGCCGGGCCTACCAACAGCTCAGAGGAGCGGGAGGGCCGGGAGCCGGACGGGGTGCGCTTCGACCGCGAGAGGGCGCGCAGCCTGTGGGAAGCCGTGTCTGGTGCCCAGCCGGTGGGGAGGGAGGAAGGTGAGTCCGGGGGCTTCAGAGGCAGGAAGCCCCTAGCCCGCCCGCTCGGCTCTCGGGGAGTGGCGGAAGCGCCGTCCTGGCTCGTGGACCGGCCCCCGGGCCTACGGTCACACCCCCTGGCCCGCCTCCTTGCATGACGCGCTCCGGGCCTCCTGGAATCGTGCTCCGCTTCAGGGCCCAGGCACACCAAGAATCAGGTCCCCTGCGCGCAAAGGGTCAAGGGCCGCTCACACTCAGGCCCAGCGTGTTTTCCCCCCCTCCTTCTTCATCTAACAGAGCTCAGTTTTTCCCAAACTCGAGGACTGTAATCCCTATTCGCGTTCTTTCGGAGACCCCCAGGGTCTTTGCCAAACTCGTAGTCGAGCCAAGTAGCCCTCACCATTTCTCCCTGACTCCCCGTCGTCCCAGTCTCCAGATTCCCCCTCCCGACCCCCACCTTTACCCCGTGTCTCTTGCCTCCCTTCTTTCAAGCCCCACGCTTCTGAGAACTCTAGAAGGGCCTTCTCCTTACCCTTTGTGACCGAGTCCTGGTTTACCCCTATTTCTAGCTGTCTGGCCTCTACTTGTTGGGTCCCTGTTCTAAGGTGCGGGCCAGGAACCTGAGAAACTGGCTGGCGGGGTGGGGAACCTGCAGCAGCCTCAAGGCCACATGTGGCCTTCCAGATGCCCAAGTATGGCCCCTCGACCAGAGTCACTAATGTTCTGTGAAGTTTGGATTCAAGTCAAAAAGCTGCACTCAAGGATCCAGAAGGCCACGTGTAGCTCCAAGGCAGCAGGTTCCCCACCCCCTCTATGCTTTGGCTCCAGTTTCTTTGTATCCCACACTTGACTCGAAGTTGTGGCAAACAGTGTGCACAAGGCCACGTCAGGGGTCACTTCTGAGCTGAAGCTTCCCAGCTTGCTCTGCATTCGACCTGAGACTGGGTAAGGTGGGAGCTAGAAAAGAGAAGAATGGAAAGGGCTCATCTGACCTGCTTGTGTGACCCCCTTCACAGTCTTTTACAGAGCTAGCTACTCAACACTAACTCATATGTCCAAGAACTATATCTGGGCTTTTGTGCTAATCCTGTCAGGTATCTGCAAGAAAATCAGATTTCTCTAGTGGACTGTTTCCTTGCTGAGAAGACTATCTTGGGAAGTTTAATAAGTTGTCAGCGAACAGACAGTCCTGGATAAAATTGAATTTTCTACCATATCCAAGGAAGATATATTTAAATTTTGGGTGTTACACAGACCTATATCCTAGTGTATATTTCTCCAGTTTAAAACAAGTCTAGGCCCGGCACAGTGGCTCACGCCTGTAATCGTAGCACTCTGGAAGGCCGCAGCAGGATCACTTAAGGTCAGGAGTTCGAGACCAGCTTGAGCAAGAGCGAGACCCCCATCTCTACTAAAAATAGAAAAAATTAGCTGGGCATGCCGGCACATGCTTGTAGGCCCAGCTACTTGGGAGGCTGAGGCAGGAGGATTGCTTAACCCCAGGAGTTTGAGGTTGCTGTGAGCTAGGCTTACAACACGGCACTCTAGCCAGGGTGACAGAACAAGACTCTGTCTAAAAAAATAAATAAAAAATAAAAACAAGTCTAGCCTGACTCCTAAATTAATATGTATACTATTTCTGGGCTCCTGTCTCTCTCCTACTTTCAAACTTGTTTCATGCAAAATTTCCTTCCCCTACCTCAATTTTCCTTTCATTAATTTGACAAACATTCACTGATACCTGCTCTGTTCCTAGAACTGGCTGGGCATCAGAGCTACAGAGATAAAAAAGATACTCTCCTTGCCCTGGAGGGGTTTGCAGTTTAGTCCAGGAAGTAGACGCCAAACAATTGCAGTATAATGTGAGGGATGCAATGAAGAGGATGGTCTAAGAGTTGGGAGTACACAAAAAGGAAGTGATCTTTGGCCTTGGAGGACAGGGAAAGCATGCCCTGGACCTCGAAGCAGAGAACACAGCAACTGTGCTCTGAAAAGTGAACTGTCTGCTTATGTTTATATGCATGTACAATGTTACTCTTATGACCCAGTTCATTTCCCTCCTCTCCTCACTTCTCCCATATTTATGTGAGGTCTAGGTAGATACCTGCAACACTAAATTCTACTCACTGTTTTTTTCCTGTTATCACTTCCATTGAGTTATAACTTATATACCACAAAATTCACCCATTGTAAGCATACTAAGTGATTTTTATTAAAATTATGGAGTTGTGTAACCATAACCACAATCCAGTTTTAGAACATTTCTGTCACCCCGATTAGTGCCTTTGCTCCTTTTATATTAAATCCCCACTCCCACACCTGCCTTAGGCAACCACTAATCTGTTTCCTGTCTGTATAAACTTACCTTTTCTGGACATTGCACATAAATAGAATGATCCAATTTGGAGTTTGGCTTCTCTCTCTTAACATGTTTTTGAGGTTCAGCCAAGTCACAGTGTATATTAATATGTCATTTCTTTTTATCGCTAAATAGAATTCCATTGTATGAATATACCACATTTTATCTACTCAATAGTTGTAGACATTTGGATTGTTTCTAGTTTGGAGCTCTTGTGAGTAATGCTGCTATGAACATTCATGCTCAAGTTTTTGTGTGGATATATGTTTTATTTCTCTTGAGTGTATCCCTAGGAGTAGAATTGTAGAATTGCTGTGTCCTAGGGTAACTCTATCCCAAGTGACTGAAACTACAGGTGCACACCATGTCACCTGGCTGATTTTTTCTATTTTTAGTAGAGACAGGGTCTTGCTCTTGCTCAGGCTGGTTTCAAACTCCTGAACTCAAGCAATCCTGCCTTGGCCTCCGGGGTGCTAGGATTACAGCTGTGAGCCAGTGCGCCTGGCCTACACGCACAGATTCTTTAATTTGCAGTTGCATAAAAGAAAAAAAGCTTTGTCTAAAAGCTTGGGGTCAGCAGAAAGGAATGTTTAAGTTAATATTAGTAATTCTGTTAATCATAAACTGTAGTATACTTGGCCAAAGTGACCAGTTAAGCAAAATTGATGGGCTGCAGGCATGACTTAATCCTTGTCTTGCTTGGCCTTAGGTCTTGTTTATAATTTGGTATCTTATTGCCAAAAAGAGTGTGTTTTGTGAGTCTTATAATCTCTATTTTAACATTAATACCGGTCAGTTGTTGTGTCTAAACTCCAAAAAGGAAGTGGTATAACTAGACATGTCCAGGTTCCCATCCCGTCATGGCCAGGAACTCAGTTTTTAAGGTTTCTCTGGGGTCCCCTTGGCCAAGAGAGGCGTCTGTTCAGTTGGTAGGGAGGGGCTTGAGATTTTATTTTTAGTTTATATTATCAAAAGAGAATAAAATGTACTGTACTGAACTTGCACTACAATTTTGTTTTTTTGGTATTTTTTGACACAAGGTCTCTCTCTGTTGGCTAGAGTGCAGGCGTCATTGTAGCTCCCTACAACTTCAAACTCCTGGGCTCAAGCGATCCTCCTGCCTCAGCCTCCCAAGTAGCTAGGACTTTAGGTGTGCACCACCACCCCCAGCTAATTTTTCTATTTTTTATAGAAATTGAGGTCTCACTACATTTCTCAGGCTGATCTCCAACTCCTGGCCTCAAGTGATCCCACCTGGGCCTCCCAAAGTGCTGGGATTATAGGTATGAGCCACCACACCTGACCCCACTGCAATTTTAAATAAAAGTGGCAAGAGTAAACATTTTATCTCAGGGGAAAAGCATTCAGTCTCTCACCATTAAATAAACATTTTAGGTCTGGGCTTTTCATAGGTGCCTTTACCAAGTTGAGGAAGTCCCCTCTATTCCTAGTAGTAAAAGCTTTTATGATGAATGGGTGTTGAATTTTCTGGATCCTTTTTCTGAATACGGTGAGGTCATCATATGGTCGTTGCCCTTCATTCTTGAGAGAAAGCAGGGACCCTTCTTACAGGCCTGCTGGGTGCCCCTAAGCATAGAAATAAAGGAAAATCTTGAGACCCTCCAGGGAAAGTTCCAGGGACCTAAGCAAGCCAGAGTCATGAGGCGTTTTGATTCCCTGTGGAACCTAAAAGAGATAGCATCTTAACATATGTTCTTGAGTTTGTTTTTCAGAACCCTCCACCAGATGGAGAATGCAAATAAGGCAGAACAGAGGAATTGAACTCTGATGGATATTCTTTGTTCGAAATTTCTTTGGAGGAGGGGAGCTTTGTGGGGGGAGAGCTGGAGAGAGTCACACCCATCTTAACATTCTTTTCCCTTAATCCAGGAATCTCTGAATCCACCTATGACCCATAGGCACCTACTCCCCTTCAGGATATCTGCCTTTTGGGGCCAGGCCGATGTATAATCTCCACATTTTGATTTGCAATATTCCCTGCCACTTCTGCTTCCCTGAAATGTACCCCTACCTTTAAAAACCCTTGCTTTTAAACCATCGGGGTCTTAAGCGTTAGCTGCCTGTTTTCCTTGCATGGCACCATGCCATAAAAAGGCCTCTTTCTCCTGCTGCAGCTCTCAGCTTCAGTGTCTAGTTTTACTGCACCAGGCAAGTGGCCCCCAGTTGGTTCAATAACATTCTCTTAATATGATGTATTGCATTAATTAATTTTCATATGTTAAATCATTAAGGCTTTTGTTTCTGTGTTCATAAGAGGTAATAGTCTGTGAAAAAAGGAATATTCTTTGGTAATATCTTTACCTGGCTTTAGTATCAGGTAATACAAGTCTCATAGAATAAGTTTGGAAGTGTTCCCTCCTCATCTACTTTGTGAACGAGTTTATGAAGGATTAGTAATATTTCTTCTTACAATATTTTATAGAAGTCAACAGTGAAGCTGCCTGGGCTTTTCTTTGTGGGAAGATGTTTAATTATTAATTCAGTTTCTTTACTTGTTTTAAATATATTCACATTTTTTTGTTTCTTCATAAGTCACTTGTGGTCATTTGTGTCTTTCTGGAAACTTGTTCATTTCATCTAAGTTGTCTGATTTGTTGGCATAAAATTTTTCATAATATTCCCTTACAATCCTTTAAATTTC